CCTTTCGGTATGTTTGAGTTCACCCGAATGCCTTTCGGGCTGAGGAACTCAGCGCAAACGTTTCAGAGATTCATCAACGAAGTAGTAGGTAAATTAGATTTTGTTTTCGCGTATATTGATGATCTACTGGTTGCAAGTGAGAGTGAAGAACAACATTTAAAGGATCTACGGGTACTTTTCGAACGTTTGTCTGAGTATGGTTTGAACGTCAAACCAAGCAAATGCATTTTTGGTGTTCCAAGTATAGATTTTTTAGGACATTGTTTATCTGAGGCAGGGATACAGCCTTCTGTAAACAGAGTAGAAGCGATTCGCAATTTTGAACGACCGAAGTCAATAAAACAAGCGCAAAAGTTTATTGGTATGGTTAACTATTACCATAGATATATTTCAAAATTAGCTGAGTTTACTGGAGTTATATATGATTTAATTAATAAAACAAGTAAAAAGCGAGACAAAATTTTGGTTTGGGATGACAAATCCATTAAAGCTTTTGAATGCATTAAAGAGAAGTTTGCATCTAAGATTTTGCTAAATCATTTTAGTAAAGATGCAAAATTGTCTTTAACGGTAGATGCATCCAATACAGCAATTGGTGGTGTCATACAGCAGCATTTCAATAATAAGTCTGAACCACTTGCGTTCTTTTCAAAGAAACTCCCTCCAGCAGAAATGAAATATAGTGCTTTTGACAGGGAACTTTTAGCAATTTATTTGAATATTAAACATTTTCGGTATTTATTAGAAGGAAGACAGTTTACGGTTTTTACTGACCACAAACCCTTGATTTTTGTTCTAAATTCCAAAACTGAGCGTAGTCCAAGACAGACAAGGCATCTTGAGTTTATTGCACAGTTTACTAGTGACATACAGTATATTAAAGGACAGACCAACATTGTAGCTGACACGTTATCTCGTGCGTTTGAAATAGATGTGATTAAAAATTCAGAACTTAATTTCAAAATTTTACAGAGTGAACAGCAACAGGACAGTGAACTTAATAAACTTATTTCTGGACAAACGTTTCAAAATCTTAATTTAATTAAAATTCCTATTCTAAATTTTAATATTTGGTGTGAAGTGTCAGGAGAAAGTCCTAGACCTTTCGTTCCAAATAATTTGCGCAGGACAGTGTTCGATATGTTACATGGAATTGCTCATCCTGGTACCAAGGCTACACGCCGATTAATTGTGAAGAAGTATTATTGGCCTTGTATGAACAAGGAGATAAACATATGGTCAAAAGGATGTATAAGTTGCCAGAAATCTAAAGTTTATCGTCACACAAAATCTCCTGTGAGCACAATTCCAATTCCGAAGAGCAGATTTGAACATATACATTTAGATATTGTTGGACCGCTTCCTGTTTCAAGAGGTTACCGCTACATTTTAACAATTATGGATAGATTTACTCGTTGGCCGGAAGCATATGCTGTAAAGGATATCTCTGCACAGACAGTTGCAAATAAATTTTTTAATGAATATGTTTCGCGTTTCGGTGTGCCTTTAGAAATCACGACGGATCAGGGTACTCAATTTACGTCCAAATTATTTTCGGAACTTACTAAATTACTTGGTAGTCATCATATCACAACTTCTTCCTATCATCCTCAAAGTAATGGTATTGTGGAACGATTCCATAGACAATTGAAAACTTCAATTTTGGCTAGGAATGGAACTAGAGATTGGTACGATGAGCTACCGATTATTCTTCTTGGTTTGCGTTCAGTGTACAAAGAAGATATTGCAGCCACTCCAGCTGAAATGCTTTCTGGCCAAAATTTGCGTCTACCTGGAGAACTTGTTGTGCCAACTACAGAAAATGTTACTTCCGCCGAAATTTTAGGAAGTTTACGGGAACGTTTTAAAAACTTTAATTCAAATTTAAAACATCACAAAAATTCCGATTCAGGAATTTATGTTCCAAAAGATTTACAAACTTGCAAATTTGTTTTTATTCGCATTGTTAACAAGCATTCTCTTCAACATCCTTATGAAGGGCCTTACAGAGTTATTGAAAAAGACAAAAAATATTTTAAGGTAGATGTGAATAATGAAATTAAAATTATTTCGATTGACAGACTAAAGCCAGCAATAGTTGAAATAACAGAACCACATAACACTAACAACCATATAGTTTCAACAACGACTAAAAAGAAACAAGTTACTTTCAATTTGTATAATAATAACTCTCAATTTATGTAAATCAAAAAGAAAATTTTTGATTACTTCAAAATTTTTCTTCTTGCTGAAAGCATGTATATTATTTTGTTAAAGAGATAATTGAAATACATAAAATTAACGTTTTTAACCACACCACACTCCTCTTTTTCGCAAAAACAATCGAAAAAACTAGGATGGACACCGAAAAGTTATCGGTTAAATCTGAGATTATTTTATAATTACAGATTTACAAGGGACGAATTTTATGTGGCTAATCTCTTGTTCTAATTACAGATTGGAGTGTTCAGCTCGAAAATGAGGATAATCTACTTATATGTGAACCTAGTATTAAACTAGGGCTGCGACATCGACCTCTTGGTTAATAAAACATCGGGTGAAAACCACCGATATTTTGTATTGAAGTATTAGGGCCGGTTACTCAATGTCTGGTTAACACTAATCTCCGTTTAAACATCATTATCGACGTGTTCGGCTCCATGCATAAAACATAGTTATTTCATCGTTCTTTCGAAGTAAATAAGTAAATATGCCAAACATACCAAAACACCTTGGCTCTCCAAATCCAACAGCACATTTTGCATTGCAAACTTTTTTTTGCGAGCGTTGATGAATTCGCCCAAAAATGCCCTCGTCTCTTCTCTGGTCCAAATTCGCCTGTCACTATAAAATGTTAATTATTTTATTAAGATTCGATTAATCTCGTATAAAGTAGTTTTTTAATACTAACATTTTATTTAAGTTATGCATTTTAAGTTTAATTTAATTGACCGCTCAAGAAAACTGCTTTTAAAAATGGCCGAACATCTATTTGTGTATACATTCGCTTGTTAGTGCTACCAATTACAAAAGGCTGTGCTGCCAAACTTACATCAAAAAACAAAACGAACAGAACAGATCATAAATGGAACCAGATCTCTATCAGGATCACATCGTTTGTCCACAATAATCGAAAAGAGTTAGGCTATCTGCACACTTGTCGTCCAATCATAGTTGCGTTATCGTCTCGCACTGAAATTTTGAGCCGAGCACATGTATTTCAAAGGAGATCTGCACACTTGTCGTTATCGGCTAGTTATCGGCAAATCGTAGAAGATGCAGAAACGGATTAGTACGGCACTGTCGTTTGCTAATCGTTGTGCACGCATTGTTTGTTTATGTTTTATGGGGAAAAATTAGTGAAAAAGTTAATATTTGCATTAAAATTGCATAAAAATTAGTATTTTTGGCATAAAATCTGTGGAAATGATTAAAAAGTGCAAATTCAATAAATGTGAGCGTTTTAACTATAAAATATGACGAAATTGTAAAAAGTCTCTGTGTGCATGCACAAAACACATTTCAGGAAAAGAAAAGAAGAGATATTACTGAAAAATGATTTCTAGAATTGTTGCAGCACAGCCTATATTTTATATATTATTTATAAAATTGCAGGGTTTTGTAAAAATTTGGCGAAAATATCAACCAGAAAAACAGAAAATACCTGCTCCAAGTGAATTTTTAGACGCCAAATGAATTGAAATATCACGACCGAGTGTGCGAAAGTGTAGTCGTCATGTAATCGTTGCATCATGATTGTGACGATGAAGCAACTATGATTGGACGACAGTGCAGAAATCCTAAGTCAAGTTAAAACGACTAAAATAAGTGAAATATTATACATATTGTACCAAACAAGTCTTTTTTATGTTTAAGGGGTAATTTATTTTAAGGTAATTTAACGTGGGTTCACAATTTCACAGAATTTTCTACAAAATAAAGTAGTGCTAGCGGCCAGTAGCAGCAGAGCAAGCGCCAATTGCAATATAGAGACCAGCCATCGCCGTTCATCTAACATGGCAACCATCTTGCTTAAATATATGCTTAGGTGGTGAACATTGAGAACGGCAAACTATCGCTCGCCACGTTCCTTGAGCACTCCACACAGCAAGTCTGCTTACTCCTGATCCCTAGAACACAAATCTCAGTATATCCGGTAAAAAAACGGTGGTGAAGTCCTTTATGGGGATAAAGTTTCCAGAGGTGAAATTTTAGGTAGCACACAATTTCTTACACGCATGGTTGCTTTTCAGCACTCATGAAAGAAACTTAAGAAATATTTGAAAAAAAGTTCATATAGTATATTAATTTTGGAAAGATTTGCGATTTCTATTGTTTAATGTAAATTTATGTCTTTTTAGGATATGTTGAGGCAACAAAGAACGCGCAGTTTGAAAATGGAGTTATTATTAATGAAGTAGCAGGCATATTTGGAAAATTATGCCGATAAACAGGATGGAATTTGGAAAGTGCCTGGTTGCAGCATATCTATGTATTAAAAAGTATTTAATTAAATTGTTTAATAGAAATGTTATAAATCGAATGGCTCACTTACGATGTGCTCCAAACATTTGGCGAACTTTTTTTCGCCTTTTCAATGTGCTAAGTAAGAAACCGCAAGCAAGGGGCAGACAACCTTCCAGGAAGCTGCCTCCTGTCCCTGAGTCGAAGCTGAAGTTCAAGAAGCATGCCAGCAAACTGCTACCCTGATCAAGCGTAAACTAAAGCGCTCTGCTGCGATTACACTCCGTAAACCTGAAAACTTGGTGCATGCCGAGAAATATCAAACAAGAAAACTCCGTGATGGACGCCGTGAGATGAAGTTGCGCCGTGTGGCAAAATAACGCGGCCAATTGTCTAAAAAATTCAAATTGGCTTTTGTGATCCGTATCCGCGGTATCAACAAAGTTGCACCGGAAGTGCGTAAAGTTTTACTGTTGTTCCTTTTTCGTAACATTAAACACGGTTTGTTCATCAAATTGAACAAGGCAACCATTAATATGCTACGTATGCCGAACCCTATATGGGGTTATCCAAATCTTAAATCGGTTCGTGAATTGATGTACAAACGCGGAATTGTCAAGCACAACCATCAACGTGTCCCAATCTCTGACAGCTTTGTGATCGAACACAAATTGCGTAAAGCGCACGAAATTCAGTGCGCTGATTATTTGGCGCACGAAATATTCACTGTTGGAACCCACTTCAAGAAAGCCTCCAGCTTGCTGATGCCATTCAAGCTCAACACATCAAACCAAGGATGGCGCAAAAAGGCTAATCACTACGTTGAGGTTGGCGTTTTCGGTAGCCGTGAGCATAAGATCAACAAACTGTTGCGCAAGATCGCTTAAAGAAATTGTTTTTTTTTTTTTTATTTAAGGCGACAATATACTTTGGCACATCTTCAAAAGGCGCCCAAGCAAAAAAAAAAAAAAAATAAAAAATTCGGGAAGTTGACTTCACACGGGTCGATTTCTGTCGATTGGAAAATCGACTGAGATATTGACCAGCCAAAACGCTTACATTTTACGGTTGAAGTGCAATTTACACGGGTAGATTTCAGTTAAACGACAAACAGCGACCGTGTAAAGGCAGCTTAAATAACGTTCAAATTAATGATCACTTTTGAGATGGAAAATACCAATGGGTCGTATGAATAAAAACTGAGCAATTGCTTTTTCTTAAAATTTCATACCGGTTACTTCACTTTTGTTTGAATAAATCGAGTAAAAGGTGTGAAATTTTAAGAAAAAGTAATTGATTATTTTTATTCATACGGCCCAGTAACCATTTCATAATTTCGAAAATTATTCCATTTATATTTGTTCTTGCATTTTCCACACCACCTGTGAGGTAAGCTTTTAGGCGCGTTACCGATTTTTTTTTAAGGTGCTCGGTTCCTCAGGCCTATTTTCACCTTTGCAACTTTACTTAAAAAGAATTAAAACTAAAGCATGCAATTATAAAGAAAATTAAAATTGTCTTACACCTAGTAAACATAAAAAATTGCAAAAATTAAATTCATTATTCATTATAAAATAAAATTAAATATCTCACAATTCAGTTGAAGTGTATACATATATATGTATGTACATATTTACAAAATGTGGTCTGTATGCACCCACAGTAAGTTCCCATAAAACCCAGCCTAAATTCAGAACTGAAAAAAACGAGCAAATGGGGTCGGAAACTACTAGCTTTAAAAGCATAATGTGGAAAATGTTTGAAGAGCTGAAACTATATTGCAATAATAAAAATACCAGAGCATAAATTGGAAAAATTGTTTTTGTTTTGCTTTCTAATTTTTGGGAATATTGGATCAGATGGAATTTTTTTATTTGTTTTGGTTTTTCATCTCATTAATGATGCACCCAGGGTTGCATTTACCGTCTATGAAAATATTTCATGAAGCGTTCCAAAATTAGCTCCGAGCAACTAAAAGTTGGTTAAGCTTAAATGAAATAGTTTTTTATTACATATTTATTCCTGGTATTGAGTAAAAAAACATTCAGATATATACTAATGTACGTTCCAAAATTAACTCCGAGCAACTGAGAGTTGGTTAAGCTTAAATGAAATAGTGTTTTATTAAATATTTATTCCTGGTATACGTGGTACGAATACATTTTATCAATATTTTGTCAGAGAGCCATTATTAAATACAGACATAACTTTGTCGGGCGTTGGTGCTGACGTATATAGAATGAATGCGTTAGAGAGAGATAAATATACAAGCTCAACGCGCTAATTTAGGTATACTTGTATGCATATACCTGTTACTCGTCTAGCATATACTGCAACTGCGAAAATAATGACAGTTATAATTTATTTAGATGCAAATTTTAGCTAAATGTAGGGCTGCCAGACGTCCCGGTTTTCCCGGACATGTCCCGGTTTTAGACTGTTTGTCCCGGTGTCCCGGTCCAACCTTAAAATGTCCCGGGTTTCGTTTTAGTGTCCCGGTTTTTGATTTGATTGCACAAATTTTAATAAAAGTTCAAAAATCACTACACTAAGAGAAAAAACGCGTTGTAATATTCAGAAAAATGTTATGAATTCACTGAGGGAAATAACGCATAGTAAACATGAATATTTTCTATTTGATTATCGTTTAAAAATGTTCGTATTTAAAAATAATACTTTCATAACACGCACGCGTGGTGTTGATTCAAACTCAACATTTAAATGCACATTTACATGTCGGGCTGTAGCTGAGTGCGCGAAGATGCTTGCCACAATTTGCTAATTTCCAGAGGGTCAGGGTTCAATTCCCATTACAACCAGCATGGAATTTAAATATTTTTTTTAACTTAATTATGAAAAAGCAATCGGTAATTGCAAATCGCTTCATTTTAATAATATTTCTATACTAAATACTAAAATTTTTATACTTAAATGTTTTACGAGTTGGGTTGGTGCTCTTTCATATGCGTATTTTTTTAATTTAGCACGCTTTTTGAATTCTAAACTTCTTTCTCTCAGTGCACCTGTTTAATTTGTGAAATAGTCACATTTCGAGATAGTTGAACTTTGCATAAGCAATAGTTGATGATTAGTATATGTACCTAAATACGTTCAAAATGACGTGCACAGAGTTTTACAATTATATTAAGGAAAAGACAGAAAGACAGAAGTTTTGAAACAAGTTCACAGCAACGAAAAATATGACTGATATTTTAATGTTATCTTGTACTTAAATCTTTTTCTTTCATGAAACCTAGAGTACTTATAAGTACAGTGCCGTACAAAATTATTGGCTGGGAGGCTCTTTCATCAGATCACAATTTCTAATCAGATCTTTTAGAAAAATTTTGAAAATGTAGCTTTTGAGCCAATTAATAAAGTGCAAGTCTGAAGTTGCCAGCAAATTTCGTTAATTTTTAGCATTTGTTTTTGCTGACTGTGTCTTCCATATAAAAAGAATTATCGAACATAGTTTGTATGGAAGAAACTCTCAGTAAAAACAATACCAAAAATCAACTAAAATTTAATGGGCTGCACAACTTCATTTTAAAAATTTTTATAAAGTCTGATTAGAATGTTGCAAATTTGTATGCAAATTAATTGAATTTTCCCGAGTTTAGCACAAAGTTTAACAATTTTGTTTTTATATTTTTTCATATATTTAGTATAAACTGTATTTTTATAAAGAATAAAAAGAGGTTCATGCATTGTGAAAAATTCTCTGTGATAAGTTGTTTTGTTTTGTTGGCGTATGTTGTAATGATCTCATGATCTCA